TGGGGGCAATATGCTGACTCTGTAAACCGCTTAGAGAGGGCTGTAAAGCCCTATGAAGCGGTATATAAGTCTAACTGCTATTGCTATTGCTGTAAGCAGGGCAATAAAGATTAGGCTAGAAACAATACCAGAATGTTTCCTTCTTGTCTTCCTTACAGGATTAGCCCTGCAAAGTGGAAAAAAAACAAAACAAAAGGAGATTTCTTCCAACAACCGGTTCCCTGAACTGCTTAGAAAGTTAATAATAGGTGCAAACTGGCTGAATCCCACCACTAGATGGAGGGATGGTTGTCTGTCTGTCTGTCTGTCTTAAAAAAAATAATTATAACTACAAAAAGTACAAATTACAGAGGCTTGAAAAAAAGAAACAGTAAATTGCATTAAGCTAATCCATTTAGCATGTCTGCTATGGCAACTGATTTCTGCAGGTTAACAATAAAAAGAGATGATGAAAGTATATATAATAAAAGGGTAATTTTTCACTTTCTAATAAGGCGCCTGGAGAAAAAAAAAGATTAAATGAAAAACAAATGAAAGGGGGAAAAAACTTTGTGGCAAATTTGTCATGCAGAGAAAAAGAATAATAAATGAACAAAACATCTAAGTAAGGAAGATTACAGAAGTTACTGACTCATCTAAAAAAAAAATGTATGGAGGGGAAATGAAATTAAAACAATATAAATATTTAGAAATGGTTACTATCTGCTTGATAAGTGAAAGGGTGATAAAGTCTCTTTTTTTAAGACAAAAAGATCAATTTTTATTTTCAATTTAAGGTCTGTCTGAGACCTCATTTGACTTGATCGAAGGAAGAAATGAATATTTTGCTTGAGAAATTAGATTTTTAAGGCAAGTTACATGATAACAGAAGGACTTCAAATGGAGTAGTGAAAACAAGATTTTAGAACTAAGAAGAACTTAGAACTAAGGAGAAATTTCCCAACAGTTAGAACAATTAATCAGTGGAACAACTTGCCTCCAGAAGGTGTGAATGCCCCAACACTGGAAGTCTTTAAGAAGATGTTGGATAACCATTTGTCTGAAGTGGTGTAGGTTTTCCTGCCTAGGCAGGGGGTTGGAATAGAAGACTTCCAAGGTCCCTTCCAACTCTACAATTCTATTCTATTTTCTACTAGGATTCACTAAGTTGACTTTGTTATTTTGCCACTTCATCCCAAATAAAACATAAATGAGTTTATCACACATCACAGCTACTTTTTCAGGTCCAACAAAAACACACTGACTTGATTGAGATGAGAACTACAATGATAAATTATTAAAATTATGAAATCAAAAATCCCTTTTGGTTTGAAGCATGCGGTTAGTTGCAAAGTAGATGTGCAATTACACTCAAGACCAATTGAGGTTTTAAAAGCCCTTCTAAAAGACCTTGGAGGTCTTCTAGTCCAACCCCCTGCCTAGGCAGTAAACCCTACACTACTTCAGACAAATGGCTATCCAACATCTTCTTAAAAACTTCCAGTGTTGGAGCATTCACAACTTCTGGAGGNAGAGGAGATCAACCCTGACTGTTCTTTAGAAGGCCAGATCCTGAAGATAGAACTCAAAGACTTTGGCCACCTAATGAGAAGGAAGGAATCACTGGAGAAGAGCCTAATGCTGGGAACGATTGGGGACAAAAGAAGAAGGGGACGGCAGAGAAAGTTGAGGGTAGATTTTAATGCCTTATTTTACTGCACCAAAGGAGTCGGAAGTCAATGCCCTTTTTTTTATTTTTCCCTAGCTTTCTCTCTTCCCCTATTATCCACTTCTGTTTTTCCTTTCCTAATTTCCCTAATATTTGCTTTTGTACGTCATATTAAAAACTAATAAAATGATAACTGATTAAATAAAATGAATAAATAAAATGTACTAAATCAACGAATAAACGGGAAGCCAGGAGGTGGACAGTACAAGGATGAAATCATCTTCTTAACATGTCATCCGCCTCCAGAGGTCAGAGGCCCCTCAGGACCCAGACCAACTGGGAGGACCAGATTTCTATGCCCTTCCTGAAGCCAAATGAATGGGGGGGGGGGGATTTACTGAGCTCTCAATTCTGGCTCCACCCACGTCGCCTTACCTTTATTCATATCAATCAGCTGCTTTTTCTTCTTCTGCCGTTCCAATTTTTCGCGTTCTGCTTTTTCTTTGGCAAGTTTGGCTCTCTTGGTCTTTTCCTCCATTTCTCTTCTTTTATGGTTTTCCTTCAACGCATCCTGTATCAATCACAGCAAAGAGAGTTGTTGTTTTATGCAGAGAAAATCGAGAACTTCGTTTGTTATAGATTAGGCTTGTAGGTGCCTGGAGGGGAGAAAAGTGCATAGCATAATGTCACCTTTCAAAGCACCATGATTTTTTATGAAACAACTAGTTGATAACCCAGCATGGTCCATGTATTTATTTATCCTTATCCTGTATTAGACAGGAAAAGGAAAGAATTATATCTATAGTGTTGACCGCCCCACAACCCATGTTGGGCCTAGTAGGCTTCCCTGCAGCCTCCTGGGAGCAAGAATGGGCCATGGGGGGAGATTTCACTCCTCCCCCCCCCGTGCTCCCTCTGTACCCCATACATGTGTGGATCACCCCACATGTATGTGCACCCCCTGCACATGGGTGCACGTCTCCCACATGCACCCTGCCCCTTTCCCCGGTCTACTCTACTACAATATAATAGCAGAGTTGGAAGGGACCTTGGAGGTCTTCTAGTCCAACCCCCTGCCTAGGCAGGAAACTCTATACCGTTTGAGACAAATGGCTATCCAACATCTTCTTAAAGACTTCCAGTGTTGGGGCATTCACAACTTCTGGAGGCAAGTTGTTCCACTGATTAATTGTTCTCACTGTCAGGAAATTTCTCCTCAGGTCTAAGTTGCTTCTCTCCTTGATTAGTTTCCACCCATTGCTTCTTGTTCTGCCCTCAGGTACTTTGGGGAATAGCTTGACTCCCTCTTCTTTGTGGCAACCCCTGAGATATTGGAAGACTGCTATCATGTCTCCCCTAGTCCTTCTTTTCATTAAACTAGACATACCCAGTTCCTGCAACCATTCTTCATATGTTTTAACCTACTCCTCTACTCTACTCTACTCTACTCTACTCTACTCTACTCTACTCTACTCTACTCTACTCTACTAGAATTAGAAGCCCAGTACCTAACAACTTTTTACCTGCCAAAATGAATATAAGGGATAGTGAAACAATAATGAGGGAAGCATTTAATCTTGGGACAACTTTTTGAACTTCACAAATTCCTTTCTGACACTGGTAATTACAAATCATAACATTTTTTTTTCTTTTGTTGTGCTTTTCCTTTTCAACAACCTTCCAGTACTTTGCAAATTACTGTTTCCAAAACTGCCTCGGGCAAGTTAGACAAATGTTGTGCCCGCTGCCCGCTTGTCAAAGAGGCCTTTGGCGGTTGTTGTTGTCATTTCAATCAAAAATCCGGCGAGGGGAACGAGGCTGCAAAATGATTTCTACCTGTTCCACTGTATGTGCTTCATGTCTTTTGGTTACACAAACAGATCTGAGCACGTTACAGGTCACAATTAACAAACTGTATTGGATAAAAAGACGGTAAAGAACTGAAACTATTGATATAATTAAAAAAGAAAAAATGAAACCAGCTAACACATCTTAAATTATGGGCGTCACTTGCTCCGGTATCCAGTCTGGTGGGAAAGGTAATAGTTACAATAATAGCACTGAAGGAGTTGATCGGTCAGTGCCCAAAGTTCAGGATTTGTATCACTGCCCTAAATTAATTTTGATGGCATATGACTGTGATGGAAAACATGTGGCACACAAAGCCATCTCTGTGGACAAGCATGTCATCATTCCAACTCAGCCAGCTAAAAGCTTCATCATCACTGGCATATGAAGTGAGCAAGCTTGATAGAAAAGACGCAATGAACGAGGGCTGAAGCCTAATATTCGGATGTGCGTATAAAATTAATAAAAAAACTAGGAGCGTTTCCGTTTTTCTTTTTAAAGCCACATGACATTCTTATCTGCCCATTCATTCCATTTGATATTTTTCTTCTTTTTAAAGATAAGGGGCACCGAGAAAATGATTTTGTTTTGTTTTGTTATTAGCCCATTTTGTCTTTTAGCGTAACCGGGTGACAACATTCCTTCCTTCTAAAGCAGCACCTCCTTTTCTGCGGAGATTCAAGGTGCACTATTAATTGTATAAATCCATAATAATGATTTTTTTTTCCTCTCCCAGGAAAAGTTTTTAAAAAAAGAAAATCCATTCGAGTGGAATATATAATAAATTCTACACATTGTATACAAAAACCTTTGGTGGGAAAAATAAATAAATAAAAAAATAAAAAAACCACTTAAGTTAGCAGGTTAATATGTTTGCTGACATTCATTCTATTTTGCAAAATATTAGGAAAATGAAATTTTTGTTGTTGCTCTGTTGACAGCAGAAAGTCTCTGCAACTTTGTTTAATTCTTCTATAGCAGCAGAAACAGAAATCAATTTTCCTGGTCCGGGTAGAAGATTCATGCTGGAAGATGCTAATTAAGTGTTAATTGAAGCATGTTAATGAGAAGATTAGCTTTTGGTTCTATGCTTTAGGATAAGAATAGACAGTTACAATTTTGCTAGACAGAGTTTTCAAGAGTTCTATATGTCTGTGTGTGCCCTTGATGGATGGATGCAGTGGTGGGATTCAAATAATTTAACAACCGTTTTTCTGACCTAATGACCAGCTGGGTAGGCGGGGCTCAGGGTCATATGACTGGGTGGGTGGGGCCAACTCGATGTCACTCACGTCGATGGGCACTTTGCCTTAGCTGTTACAATGTAATAAGGATTAAATGGAGAGGCAGTTTATGTAAGAGCCGAGGTGGCGCAGTGGNGTAAAAGTACTCTTAATTCTGCAAAATGGAGTTGAGTGGTTTCTTTCTTGGTTAATAAGTGAAGCAGCCTTGACATCTAGCCTTTTATGGATCACTCAATATTCTAGTTCTATCAACCAATATTCTAGGAAAGGGGTGTCAAACTCGCAACAACACGCTGTCGTCATGTGACATTATCACAACTTCCCCCCACCCTTTGCTACGCATACGGCCCATGGACCGTGAGTTTGACACGCCTGCTCTAGGATTTTAAGATAGTCCTTCCTTTCCTCTTTGAAAAGTGGGAAATATTTGATATGCTGAGAAAAGAGAAACAGTTGTCGCTTTGCAGGTATCTTTCTTTTCAATCTATAAATATATTCTGGAAAAGAAATGCCTCAACTATTTTCTCTTGCATTCTGTTTTGTGGTTAGAGTAGAAAACAGGGTCAAAAGTTACTAAATGAAGCTATTATATGATCCTTGAGCTTTTTTGAACGTTGTAAAAGTCAACTCATTGTCGGATGTTTGATGAACCACGTTAAGTGAGAAAAAATAATAACATTACTGACACTATATCTCTTAAAAGCACCTCGCCTTCCATGAAAAGCTATTTCTAACAGTAAGAACTATTATGAATAGCCTTGGATATGTCATGGTTAGCAAAGAGCTGGAGGGGATAATAATTAATGGAAATTGTTAACTGGAGTAATCCCCCCCCCTTTTTTTTTAAAGGAGAATGCTTTAAATTCTGCAAGTAATTATTTGCTCCAGCTTAACTATTCCTGCAAAATCATTTCTGAAAATTAAATAGCTCTCAAGTATATGCTGGGGTTACAAATATCTGCTTTTTTTTTGTGGTTCTGGCTGTGGTTGCTTTTGCCACTCAGAACATCTAGTGAGAAAAATGTGCAGAAAAGCCATCAATACCCAAATCCTACTGAAATCAATTGAATCCTAACTGAACAGGCTCATACTTTAAATAGGTCTGAGAAGATATATGACTGATTAATCCACCACTGCTTCCCTATCGCAGGATATTTGTATAGATTTTACACGATGAAAAACGATTTTCCCCATAAAGATTTTGCAGCACATTTTCACCGATAAACACACTGAAATATAACAACGAATTATATATAAATTCCAGATCTAAAGGCAGAAAAAGAATGGAATAAAACAGAACATTGAATGGAAAGCTGAATATGCAGCCTGTCTATTAGTGATTTATTTCCTTCAAACATTTCATTTTAATCAACAGAATTTGGTAAGACACTGGACAATATGCTAGAAAGAACCATTCACAAATATATTTATCGGCATAGGAGTGATGAATCTCTACTTACCAAGAATAACATCCGGAATGCACTTAGATCTCCAAAGAATTCCTCCACGGTCACAGATTTGGAATCAAAAGTGTAATAGTCTCCCAAATTATCATACAGCTTTATCATGTTGTTATGCATGTTTGATAACTTTTCATACTGTTCTCTGGCACTCTTGGCAAAACTGTGTTCTTTTGGTTAAGGAAGCTTGAATGAATAACACAACCAGCCTAATATCTAATTTCTGTTTTTACCAATGTTTGATAGAAAAAAAGTTCCATATTTTAGCCAGTTTAAGATTGCTCCATTCAAGTTCGCTCAAGTACAACTGCTGGTTGCTTGAAAGAAATCAGTTTTTCCTCGCATTCATAATCTTGAGCAATCTGTGATGTAGGAGGCTGGACTTTTGAAGCAAAGAAAATAGTTAGCATTAATATCCCATCAGAAATGACACGGGGCAACATTTGTGAGCGGAAAGCGCCTGTGAAATTGGAGATATAATTCTGACGGGATCCTGTACTTTAGGATTCAGCAAATGCAGAATCATTAAAAAAAAAAAAATGATACTCCAGTAAAAAGGAGTGAGCTCAGACAAACCAAATAATTCTACTCAGAATAAATCCCAATAAAACATAAATTATTAAGATAAGGCATCCTTGGAATGGCACGACACATATATTGCAAATATAGTTCTGAGATGCTATATAACTCCTAATCCAATAAAACTGTCTCTTTGCTATTCTGGAGATGCATTAAGAATAGTCTGAGAAAGTTGTATGAAAAGTCACAATGGGAATATAGTAAAATGGTGTAAGAATCTAAACCTCCTAACAACATTTAAGCAAAAAAAAGTCTGAGCAGTAGTTTACAGAATTACTCTGTATGTTTGCGCATTTGTGTGTGTGTGCGTGCCTCTGTGTGTGTGTGTGTGTGTGCGTGTGCGTGTGTCACTGTATGTTGGAACTTCTGCTATGCTGTTGCTTGTGTATTACTGCACTTTTGTGTTTAATGAACTAACATTAAGTAGAGAACAAAAATAATATTTCTCTAAGTGTCGTGATTGCAGCACAGTGAACATACTGCACTTAAAAAAAAAAAAAACAGAAAAGAAAAACTTGAAGAGGGCTTGAAAATTAACCCAAGATCTACTTGACCTTCATAACAATTTTAGTTACAAATTGCATAATTGTCACCTGAAGTGGAAGGAAGCAATTTCATAAAGGAGTTAAACGTCAAGAACAATGCAAATGCAAATAAAGGTTAACATTTTATTAAGGGAATAATTAAGTCATACCTTTTCATTCTTCTACTTCAAACTCAATAAATGCTTCATTATTTTTTTTTTCCTAATGACAGAAAGAAGGGGAAAAAGAGATTAGCAAACTTTGTTCTTTAGCAAATAGGTAGCAGTCCGTGTGATAGCAATAGCAATTAGACTTATATACCGCTTCACAGTGCTTTACAGCCCTCTCTAAACAGTTTAGAGAATCAGCATATTGCTCCAACAATCTGGGCCCTCGTTTTACCCACCTCAGAAGGATGGAAGGCTGAGTCAACCTTGAGCTGGTGGGAATCGAACTGCTGGCAGTGGGCAGAATTATTCTGTAGTACTGCTTTCTAACCACTGGGAAGGGAGAGAGGGAGGGAGGGATGGAGGAAGGCAATAGCCATAACATTTAAGACTTATATACCACTTCACAGTGCTTTACTGCCCTCTCTAAGTGGTTTACAGAGTCAGCCTCTTACCCACAACAATCTGGGTCCTCATTTTACTGACCTCAGAAGGATGGAAGGCTGAGTCAGCCTTGTGATGGTGATTTTCTCTGCGATGCTCAATGGATGTTTGCCTCTATGCTAAGTCACTTTCCTACTGCCCCCATACCAGGGGAATAAACATAATCATGCATGACACATGTAAAAAAGGGACAGTTGTCATGTTGTTATAGCTTCCATCATGAGTTTTTTTTTTTAAAAAAAAAACAACCCTCCATTATTCTAAAAAATGGAGAAAGATTGAAAAAAATAATAATCTGTTTATAGTACAGATAGAAACATACACAAATGCATCCGTGCTTGATTAAGCTCTATGATCATCAGGCAGTTCAGGTTCACTAATTACCTTTTCCCACCAGCCAACAAAGTTGCAGAGAGCATTGGAATGAACAGTTGGCTCTTCAGTCTAAGACACAGGAGACATTCAGAAGACAAATTGTACTTTTCCTAGCTCTTCCACTCAACCTCAATCAACAGTTGCATGCAACATTTCTATTAATTACATTCCTTAGTGTTTAATAAACATCATGTTGTCTGGGTATTTAATTTGCTTAACAATAACAAATGCCATTCTTACTTCCCACTCTTTTTTTCCAACCACTGGTAAAATAAGTTCCAAGTTTGATAATATTTATCAAACAAGTTTCCCAGTCTCTTTATCGTCAGCTAAATGTCCTTCTTTTTTGAGGATTCCTCTCACTGTATCTTTGCAAAACTCCTCTGGATAACAAATACAGGATTATTTGTCCTTACAGAAATGATCACTAACATTTAATAATCCATTCCAAAACCTTTGTGTACTTAAATACTTCAGAGTTGATTTGCAGGTAAGTAAGAAGAGTGGAACATGAGGGCTCAGTGGCCAAAACTCTGAGCTTGTTGATCAGCGGTTCGAATCCCTAGCGCCGCATAACGGAATGAGCTCCCGTTACTTGTCCCAGCTTCTGCCAACCTAGCAGTTTGAAAGCACATAAAAAATGCAAGTAGAAAAATATGAACCACCTTTGGTGGGAAGGGAACAGTGCTCTGTGTGCCTTCGGTGTTTAGTCATGCCGGCCACATGACCACCAAGACAGCGCTGGCTCCTCAGCTTAGAAACGGAGATGAGCACTGCCCGCTAGAGTCGGGAATGACTAGCACATCTGTGTAAGGGAACCTTTACTTTTATCTTACACGAAGATACCCTCTCATTCTTAAAAATAAAATCAACATAGGTTTTGTCCTACATGTGACAGAGTTGAATGAATTCAGTGATGAAGAATTCTTGTCTTGTATTTGGAGACTTTTTTTTTAAGGCAGACAACTTTTAAAAAACCCTGGAAACTATTCCGGTTTGCAAATTAAACACATGAAAGGAAAAGCCCAATCTTTATCAATGTGCCAACTCTCAAGAGAAGAATGGAAAAATGTGAGGATAAATATGCTGCGTCCTTCATAATAGCGGCCCTCTCTTGCCGACGTGGGATAACAAAGGGAAGCCGATCAACCTGATAGAATAAATTGACACAGAAGTGAAGAGGAAAGTGCATCTGAATAGCTTCCAGAGCACAGCCAACGCAATTGATTTGTAAAGGACATGTAAAAAAAGAATAAGTTTCATTCTTTGTGTTGCAATGTTCTCTGAAAGCTACTGTTTCCAAAGAGTCCTCCCTGTTCCATTCCTCCCATCAATGAACATGGATATGAATATGAATTTGACCCACGTTGGCAAAAATGGAAAATAACAGTGGCGGTAGCACTGTGAAAAAAAAGAAGGCAATGTCACTTCACAATACCGTTGACTTCCTTCATCGTAGAAGCTTGCCACCTCTCTAACCATTGGCTTTTCTAGCTGGGGAAAAAAAAAAGAGGGAAGAAGAGAAATGGGTGAAAATAAAAGATGCTAAAAAAATGTTTCTTCTCTTGCAAGGACAAAAACTGAATGATCTATTGAGCCATGGAGGCACAGTGGTTAGAGTGCAGTACTGCAGGCTACTTCTGCTGACTGCAGGCTGCCTGCAATTTGGCAGTTCGACTCTCGCCAGCCTCAAGGTTGACTCGGCCTCCCATCCTTCCGAGGTGGGTAAAATGAAGGCACAGTTTGTTGGGGGCAAGAGGCTGCCTCGTTAAACCGCTTAGAGAGGGCTGTAAAAACACTGTGACGCGGCATATGTCTAAGTGCTATTGCTATCTGGCAGAATAGCAATTCCCAAAGTTAGCAAGACTGGGCAATGAAATGTCTTCAAGAAAACAACCAAGCTCAGAGAGCAAGAAGAACCCCCGAGACGAAGCTGTCGACTGATGATTGAGTACCACAGATCAACATGACTGTCCTTGCAAAATGCACACAAGAGCATCACACACAATATCATTCCCCATAAACCTGCCCATGAAAAGTATTTTGATTTCCACAACATTTTTTTTCGCCAGATATCCCACATCTTCATCCAGACTCCCCCCCCCAACACACACACACACACACACACACACACACACACACACAAGAAAGAGCCTCTCAGTGGTGATACCAAAGAAGAATCAATATTCCCAGACAGGTAAAATAAGCTTTCAAAACCTTTCGGAGAAAACTAAACAAAAGATTCCTTTGAATGGAGTTCATAGTAACTTCATAAACATGTCCAAGAACTTTTCAACTGGAAAACGGTTTGGCAATGGGATTGATATTTTCTAGACAAAAGGCTTGAGATCTGCCACCATCACACAATTTTGCAGGAGGGTTTTTATTTTGGAAAATAAAAAAAAAATCAACAACAACTACACCTGCTGGCAATTGAAATACAAAGGGCCTCCAAGATGCTCCCCATTGATCTAGCTACATCCCCCTGACGCTCCTGTTCAGTNTATATATATATATATATATCTCACACACACACTTCACTGTTGCCAGTGATTCTGGATTCTCTTGTACTCATCTACTTAACCTTGAATGATTCACCTTCAGAGCATTCCATTTCCAAGGAAATAAAAAGCTATGACGTGTAAACAAAGCCCATTCCCTGAGAATACTTGCAAAATCAAATTAATTGGTCATATACGATTCACATTCATGGATTCGGTTACATGAAAGGCCAAAGGAAAATAACCATCCAGCTTCAAACAGGCCCACTTGAAACAAACTACAAATTACAAGCATCATGAAGGACTGATTTTTATTTTTTTTTTAAAGGAAGAAAAATGTAATAATCACACCTTTAAAATGTCGCTGTTTTGACTGAGGGATGTGAAAGTATTGAAGGATGAGATTTGGGCTGTTACTTGTCCAGTCCTGCAAAAGACGAGGGTCACTTCATTCATTTAAAGAAGTGGCACCCCTATGAGACATCATGAAATCCAATTCATTGTTAATATTCATATCTGAATTCTGATGTGGACAGGCCATGAACCACCGTAATGAAGGCCTCCATTTCATCTCT